AAAAAAAAAATGCACCTGTGCATGCACACACATAGGCACAGAAACACCAGTGTGTGCATTGGGCTCACTCCCCACAAGCAGACCCACACCCACACAGATGCCTAAAGAAACCTGCTCACAAGCACATGAACACACATGGAAATGGTGTGCACAGAGGGATCTGTGGCATACAAAGGTGAGCTGATGAGGCAACTGGTTGTTGCTGGGGAAGCACCTGGCAGGAAAGGCAGAGTGGAAAGTAAGTAGATAATGAAAAGGCAACCTGGCCCAGCCAGAGCTTTCTCTTCCAGGTTTCTCTTCCAGGATTGGGGGGAGGGAAGGCGGGGAAGCCGGCCAGCTGTGGGCGGGGCTGTGGGCGTACAAGGAGCCCAGCTCCCCCAGATGTTAGTCACTAACATTCGTCCTTTTCTCCTCTCTCCACGCTCACCCTGTCCTTCTTCCACCTACCAGCTCCCTTCCCTCGGCCGGAGCCTGAGCCTAGCCTGGCCCGCTGTGCTGTGCTGAGCTGCTGACTCCGGCAGGAAGATGGTCGCGGCGCTGCAGTACGTGTGGCCTCTCCTCCTCTGCAGCCCCTGCCTGTTCATCGAGATCCCTGAGGAATGTGAGTAGCCTGAGGGAGCCAGAGCGCTTCCTTTTGCTGCTATGTTGGGCCCCTTTCTCTTCTGCTTCCTAGCTGGTCCAGACCCTCACCCGTCACCCCACGTCCTGGGCACAGGGAGGGCGGGAGGTACACAGACGTTCGGTACCTCTGGAGAGAACAGCAGGGTAGAAGGCGCGATGGGTGTCAGCACCACAGACAGGGCCAGGCGCGGGCAGCCGGGCATTTTCAGGACCGCGGACAGCGCACCCCTGCCTCTACAGTTCCGCTTTGCCACCCCTCCCCAAACCACTTCCACGCCTCTATTTCCACCCCACATACCAGGAGTGTGACAGGCAGGACATTAAGGCTGTCGTCAATCCTCAGCTAGGTTGTGCAAAGGTCTGGAATTGAGTCTTGCCCGTTTCTGACTTGAGTAATCCCAAGCTGGCTCTTTCCCATCCTGGGCCCTTCGTTACCCTGTCTCTGAACTGAGACAACACTCCAACCCAGCAGCCTTCTGGATGCTGTCTGATGTGTAGTTATTTGGTGAGGATGGGGGTGGGGCTGTTGGAGCATGTGTCTGTGATGGTCACACTTGTGGGGGAAGGCCACAGGTAGGTATGTGGGTGTTAAGCAGTGTAGCCACAGGGTTGTGACTGAATGTGATTGTGTGTATATGGTTGTGATAGCATGGATATTTGTGAACATGACTTTGATTTCCTGTATAAGTAAGCTTGTGAGTCACTATGACTGTTATTGTTTCAGATTGTGAAGGTCTGAGGCATTTAACTGTGACATTGGATTGTAGCAGATTGTGTGTGAGTGGTGCTGAGTGTAAGTATGTCTGCATGTGGGAATGTTGTGACAGTGATGGTGTTTTCTCTTGTTTGTAAGAATTGTAACACACCTCTAACTGGCTAGCTATTTGACAGTGTTTGTGTATCTTCAACTACCAGGCTCTAGTCCCCTCCCCACCTCTCCTTGCCACCTTTCTCTCTGAGCCTGGACATGCAGGAGGACGATGTCACTGAGAAACAAGCTAGGAACTAGGGATGGGGAAGGCTGTCGGGAATGGAATGGGGTTTGTAAGAGGCAGGCTTGGGAGGCACCTGGTATCAGGGGGCTGCAAGGATTTGGAGGAGGTGAGGAGTGGCTGACAGGACAAAGGTTGGGATGTCTCCTTAGACATATGCATGGAGGTCCCTATAGTAACACCTATGCAGACTCTCATGCCACGGGTACACATGGACATACACTCACAGGTAGACACAGACAAGCCAGACACCTGTATATGGCCAGCCACAGAGACAGGAAAAGGGGCAGAGACATTGAGAGGCCACACAAGCAGAAACACACAAGCACACAAGTGAGGTTTTAAAGACAGGGGACAGGTAAATGCAAGCAGCACTCTCTGTTTAAAGAAAGATGGGCTGCAAGGCAGCCTTGGGCACTGACCAGCACCCATACAGACCCCAATATGATTCAGTGGGCTCCTCCCTGCTGGAACCTGCCCTCCATCTCTCCCTCCCCAGCCACTCCATCCCCCTCTGTCTCTGTTCCTACTTCTTCCACCTAGTTGATCTCCCCCATCCTGTTGTCCTTATCACTGTTTCTTGCTTTTAGGTGACCTGCCCTGGCTCCTCCCCAACTCAGGACCCTCTGTAGTGTTCCTAGGGAGCCTGCTTCTTCTCAAGGGCTTTACAATGAGGTCTTCTGCAGAGACAAAGCTTTCAGAGGCAGCTCACTGCTTCCCTATCCTTCCTCCTTCCTTCCGCTCCCTGCCTGCCTCCCTCCCAGCCACCCAGGCCAGTGCCAGTCCTGGGGCTGGGGCTGTCCCTTTGGCCTCTGCCCCAGGGAACTTGGTGGCAGGTTGGGAAGAAGGAGGAGAGAGAAAGAGAGCTGGCACTAGCTGTGGAAACTCAAATGAAGCAGTGGGGCCTTTGGGAGAGTTTTGTGGGGGAAGGGCACAGGGCTCTGAGGGCTGGGCCCTGTGTAATTGAAAACACTGAGCTGCCCTAATTGGATTAGGAGGGAAGTGGGCTGGAGATGGGAGGGTGCCGTGGCAGGGGCTGTCTGCCTCCTAGCAATGCAGGGCCTCCTGGGTGAGGTGAGGTCAGCTCTGTAAGCTCTACTGGGCCCTGCCAGGGGGCTACAAGGACACTCCTTGTTAAAGGCAAGAATTTCTCTCTCCCTGCCCATTGGACCTTGTCCTTCTGGACTATATGCCCTGTGTCCTACCCATCTTGCTGGGCACCAGCCACTTCTCCAGCCCAACGATGTGTCCCTCGTTGCTACCACCTTAGCCTACTCTCCCACCCTTCCTTCTGCATGGTGGGGGCTGCCTTTCAGAGTCTCTCTCCATTCTCTCTCCTGCTGCCTGCTGGACTTCTCAGATGAGGGGCACCATGGTAAGTGGGGGAGGGGGTCCTAAAAGGCCAAGGAGAGGGAGAGGGCCCCCTCCCTTGAGCCAGCACCCCCTGCCCTCGTGTGTGCCATGTGCCCTGTGCTCTTGGATCCCTGCACCAGAGGCTTCTCTCAGCCTGTCCCTCTGTCACCTGTGTGGGGCTGTCTTTGTTCCCATCTCTGCCCAAACCTGGGATTTTTGGTCACTCTTACATTTCTCTGTTGCTCTGTCCTTCTTTCTGCTCCTCTCTCTTCATCAGGGCTTTGTCCTTGGTTTCTGTGTGTTTGATTTTATTGCTTGCATCTCTCTTCTCTCTTTCATTCCCTTTGTCTGTCTGTCTGTCTATCTGTCTTTCTGTCTCTCTCTTTCTCTCTCTCTCTCTCTCTCTCTCTCAATCTCTCTCAGGCATCTTCCTTTGTAACTCCTGTTGGTGTCTTCTCCCTGACCCTGTCTCTTTTTACACTATGTGTCCTTTTCTCTCTCCCTCTTTTTGTGTTCCACAAGCCTCTCTGCTGTTCCCCCTTCCCTGCCTCCCTCTAAGGGTTCTGAACTCTGCTTCCCTCACGGTGGGAGGCACTGTCCTCACCACTACTCTCCCCATCCTGTCTCCAGTGATGGAGCCACCTGTTATCACGGAACAGTCTCCACGGCGCCTGGTCGTCTTCCCGACAGATGACATCAGCCTCAAGTGTGAAGCCAGCGGCAAACCCGAAGTGCAGTGAGCGGCCTCTGAGATCTCAAGCTCTAACCCTCATGCCTCCCTGGGCCCCACAACCTCTCAACCCAACACCCCAGATCTCCCTGTCACCCTGAGTCCTTGCCTGTTCTCCCATCTCCGGAGGCCCCAAGCTGCTCACACTCTTACTTTAGGCCTATTCTAGCCCCTGCCTGGGATTCTAGGGTCTTGGGCCTCTGAGCTTGTTTCTGCCCACAGGTTCCGCTGGACGAAGGATGGCATCCACTTCCAACCCAAGGAGGAGCTGGGTGTGACTGTGCAGCAGCTGCCCCACTCTGGCTCCTTCACCATCACGGGCAACAACAGCAACTTTGCCCAGAGATTCCAGGGCATCTATCGCTGCTTTGCCAGCAATAAGCTGGGCACCGCCATGTCCCACAAAATCCAGCTCATGGCTGAGGGTGCGACACACTGCAGGGACCAGGGAGGACCTGGGCACATGAGACGCTCCTCAGACACAGCCCAGGAACTCATGTGGGATTCTGGGCTGGAAGCCACTGTCCCTCACCTAATTGTTGTGTGCAAGGGGCTAGAGTGCCCTGCAGCCCCTAACCTGTCCTCTTTCTCCCACGGCCTCCTCCCTCTGCACCCTACCTCTCTCCACTGCATTGCAGGTCATCTCTTTCCTTTCCACTCCTTTGGGCTTCCCCAGTACCTGCTTTGTAGCTGCTGGTGGGCTTAGGGCTAAAGGGGGATGCCCTGTCTCTCTGAGTCTCCACCTTGGCTTGGGTTTGGTGGCTGTGTTTCTGCCCATTTCCTTCTCCACCGCTTTTGGGGCGTCTCTGTCCATCTCCCTCATTTATCTGGCTCCTCTTCCCACAGCCTTTGCTCATCAGTCTCTGCTGCCTCTCTCCTCTCTCTTGCTCTCCACCTCTCCTTCTCCACCTCCAACTTGCTTCTCTATCTCTCTCTTCCTATTCTGGGGCTTTATCTTTACCTGTGTTGCCCTTTCCCGGAGGGGTTTCCCACTACATTCCCTCCTCTCTGAGCTTTCTGCCTCCTGAGCGCTTTCCTCTCCCCTCCCTGCCCCTGCTGTTACCTTGGGAACCATTGCCATGGTTTCCTTGTCAGGATGATGGAAGGGTCTGTGACTCTTGCATTTATCCCCTCCCCCAGCGCTGCACCTCGGCCTTTCCCACCATCCTTCTCAAGGTGGATAGGGAAAGTGAAAACGGGGGATTAACCCTTCCTGGCCACATGGCCTCCTGCTCACCTATTCTCCCATGGAGCCCAGAAAGGAAGGACCCAGAGTTTCTGCCCCTACCACATGAACTTTCGTCCACCTGTCATCCTCAGGGTGGCCCTCCCTCCTCCCTTCTCCAGCCTTGCAATGCCTTGACTGGGAGGAGAGTGCCAGCCTCTCTGTCCCTTCTAGGTGCCCCCAAGTGGCCAAAGGAGACCGTGAAGCCCGTGGAGGTGGAGGAAGGGGAGTCTGTGATCCTGCCTTGCCATCCTCCACCCAGCGCAGAGCCACTCCGGATCTACTGGATGAACAGCAGTGGGTGCCAGCGAGGGGCTGCTGCCCAGGCTCAGGGGTCAGTGGGGGTGTCTTCTTGGGTGGGGGTCCTGACCTGTGCCTCCTTGTCTGTGGCAGAGATCTTGCACATCAAACAAGATGAGCGAGTAACAATGGGTCAGAATGGCAACCTCTACTTTGCCAACGTAATCACGTCGGACAACCACTCAGACTACATCTGCCATGCCCACTTCCCAGGAACCCGGACCATCATACAGAAGGAGCCCATTGACCTCCGGGTCAAAGCCAGTGAGTGTCAAAGGCCCCCAACATCTCTCTTCCTGACTCCTCTCGCCCAAGGTAGATCATACAACCCTGGTGTCCTTCAAGGATGGCTTGTCTCCCACTTTGAGCCTGCCCAGGCCCTTCCAGGCACTTTGTTTAACAGGGGAGGAAAGCAAGGCCCCAGGGACTTGCTGGGGTGTGCAGAGCCACCAGCCTTGTATCTCTGTGGGTGGAGGGAGGCATGGACAAGCTACCCATTGCTTCCCACCCTACCCAGCCAACAGCATGATTGACAGGAAGCCACGCCTGCTCTTCCCCACCAACTCCAGCAGCCACCTGGTAGCCTTGCAAGGCGAGCCATTAGTCTTGGAATGCATTGCTGAGGGCTTGTGAGTCTGGGCACCCAAGGCGGGGGTGGGGGTTGAGGGATTCGGGGGGTGGGAGGTGGGGATGTGAGTGAGTCTGGCAGGGGTTTGGGCCTCTGTGGGGGACTGAGGGGAGTGGGATAAGCAGCTTTGTCCTCTCTCTCCTCTGCCCTCCTCCCTTGGCTTCCCTACACCATGGCCCTGGGCAGCCCCACCCCTACCATCAAGTGGCTGCGTCCTAGTGGCCCCATGCCAGCTGACCGAGTCACCTACCAGAACCACAACAAGACCCTACAGCTGCTGAATGTGGGTGAGGAGGATGATGGCGAGTATCGCTGCCTGGCCGAGAACTCACTGGGCAGCGCCAGGCATGCCTACTATGTCACTGTGGAAGGTATGGTGTCTCTGCTAGGGGAGAGCAGGGTGTGCCGGAAGCAAGACCTACTGCAGGCTGTGGACTTAGGATCACTCCCTTATTCCTCCCAGCGGCCCCATACTGGTTGCACAAGCCCCAGAGCCACTTGTATGGCCCAGGAGAGACTGCCCGGCTGGACTGTCAAGTGCAGGGCCGGCCCCAACCAGAAGTCACCTGGAGAATCAATGGGATCCCTGTGGAAGGTGAGCAGGTCCTTGGGCAGGGCAGTGTGGTGAGCCCTGGGCACTGTGGGGGAGAGGAAAAGGAGGGTGAGGACGTTCACACAGCTCAGGACTCTGGCCTGGACCCATGGGGCCCTCCTGCTGTGTGCACAGAGCTGCCCAAGGACCAGAAGTACCAGATCCAGCGTGGTGCCCTGATCCTGAGCAATGTGCAGCCCAGTGACACAATGGTGACACAGTGCGAGGCCCGCAACCGGCATGGAGTCCTGCTGGCCAATGCCTACATCTATGTTGTCCGTGAGTGGCAGCCAGCTGTGTGGTCCCACTCTCCCTTCTGTGTTCATGACCCCCAATCTGTCTCTGCAGTTGGTATGGCCTCAGCCTACCTTAATGAGACCCATCTCTCACACAGCCTCATAGCAGCCATGATAAGTGCAGGCTCACCCTGGACAGGCCTCAGGGGAAGACTGGGGGCTGGGGACAAGGCAGGCTGTCAGTTTGGCCTGGAATCATTGGTAACACTTTTTTTTTTTTTTTATTGTCATTGGTAACACTTGGATGGGACTGGAGGCACATCTGAGGTGGAGGGGACAGTGTGTCTGAAGGCAGAGAGAGACTCAGACTGGTGGGAGCCATGAAGCAAAATGTGCAGAGTTCTTGGGGGTCTTAGGGTGCCAGGTGGAATGTCACTGCCTTCACTCACTATCACAGCCCTGAGTCTTGCTATTCTGCTCCCAGAGCTGCCTGCCAAGATCCTGACTGGAGACAACCAGACATATATGGCGGTCGAGGGAAGCACTGCCTACCTTCTGTGCAAGGCCTTTGGAGCCCCTGTGCCCAGTGTCCAATGGTGAGTGCCCCATCATCTGTCTTGGGGAGCCCATGAGCAGGGAGCCCAAGCCAGTTGGTCTGAGCCAGGCCTGCCCCACTCACTCTAGGCTGGGAGAAGAAGGGATGACAGTGCTTCAGGATGAACGCTTCTTCCCCTATGCTAACGGGACCCTTGGCATCCGAGACCTCCAGGCCAATGACACAGGACGCTACTTCTGCCAGGCTGCCAATGACCAAAACAATGTGACCATTGTAGCTAACCTGCAAGTTAAAGGTCAGATGACTCCTACCATATGACTAACAGTCCCTGTGTAAGGAAGGTTCAGGATCTCTGGAAGACATCAGAGTGACTGACCCTCCTTTTCCTGTATCACCTTCAGATGCAACTCGGATCGTACAGGGGCCCCGGAGTGCAATCGAGAAGAAAGGCTCAAGGGTGACATTCACATGCCAGGCCTCCTTTGACCCTTCCTTGCAGCCCAGCATCACCTGGCGTGGGGATGGTGGAGACCTCCACGAGCTTGGGGACAGTGACAAGTGAGGGCCCAGCCCCAACCTGGGGTCGGTAGAAGGGACAGAGTGAGAAAGCTGGAAGTCCACACTTTTTAGCCTCATCCATGAGGGGCACTTACCTGCTTTGAGGGGAAGATTCTGGCAGGAATGGGAGGGGAGGAGAACTCAGATGTCAGGAAGTGGTGGCCTGCTGGGACCCGAAGGGCAGATATGGCCCTCTCCCTAGGTACTTCATAGAGGATGGGCGCCTAGTCATTCACAGCCTGGACTACAGTGACCAGGGCAACTACAGCTGTTTGGCCAGCACTGAGCTGGACATGGTGGAGAGCAAGGCACAGCTCTTGGTGGTGGGTGAGTCATAGGACGGGATCCTGGGGGTAATCAGGGGAGGGCAGGCTGAGAGGCCCAGATTCATATTGCTGGGCCATGTCAAGCTGGCGGGCGGGGACTGTGGCTCTTGAGGGGGCCAAAGAATCCACCCTCCATGGCCTTCAGGGAGCCCTGGGCTGGTGCCCCAGCTGAAGCTGTCTGACCTCCACCTGCTGAAGCAGAGCCAGGTGCGCCTGTCCTGGAGCCCCGCAGAAGACCACAATGCCCCCATTGAGAGTAAGAGTCCTGAGCATGGCACCCCCCCCATCACCTTGCCCTCCCCTTGGGGGCATGCACTTGTGTTGGGGGTGCTCCGGGAGAGCCGGACTTGGCCCAGCATTCCCATTGCCCTTTCTTTAAGCCACATGCTGATTACCGTGTTGCTGGTTCACTTCTTGGCAGAGTATGACATTGAATTTGAGGATAAAGAAATGGCACCTGAGAAATGGTACAGTCTGGGCAAGGTGCCAGGGAACCAGACCTCTGCTACTCTCAAGCTGTCACCCTATGTGCACTACACATTTAGGGTAACTGCCATCAACAAATACGGCCCCGGGGAGCCTAGCCCAGCCTCTGAGACTGTGGTCACACCCGAGGCAGGTGAGCCAGGGTGGCCCCCACTCCCATGCCACCTGGAAGGGGGCAGTCAACCAGGCCTTGGGCTCTGAAGGGAGGGCTCAGAGAGGTACCGTGCCCAAGCTCCCTTGCTCTCAAATTTCCAGGGGGAGGTGGGGACAGCAGGATGCCCTTGGGGCTGCTGGCCCTGACTGAGCGCTGATGTGCCAACACGTTACTTACAGCCCCAGAAAAGAACCCTGTGGACGTGAAGGGGGAAGGGAATGAGACCAACAACATGGTGATCACGTGGAAGGTGAGGGCCTGGGCTCACTGTGCTGCTGGACATGAGGCCAGGCCCCAGCTGTTTGCTCTTGCCCCTTGGCTTTGCTAAGGATGAAGCTAGTGGCTGGGGATGTGAATCTGGGCTGGGGTCACAGAAGGCCTGTGATCGCAGCCAACCAGTTCCTCTTCTGCTGCCCCCCTGCAGCCGCTCCGATGGATAGACTGGAATGCACCCCAGGTTCAGTACCGCGTGCAATGGCGCCCTCAGGGGACACGGGGGATCTGGCAGGAACAGATTGTGAGCGACCCGTTCCTGGTAGTGTCCAACACGTCCACCTTTGTGCCTTATGAGATCAAAGTTCAGGCCGTCAACAGCCAGGGCAAGGGCCCGGAGCCCCAGGTCACCATTGGATACTCCGGGGAAGACTGTGAGTACCCAACTGGGCCCTGCCCACATCCATGCAAAGTCCCCCTGTGCAACACTGTGTGCACAAGCACAGCCTGCTCCCCACCTCCACGCTGGTCCCCAGCTCCCAATGCTTTGGTGCACGTTTCCTACAAATAAGGACGTTCTCTTATGTAACCAGAGGGATGTGAAATTCTGGACACTTGCCATTGCTATGATCCAGTAATTGGCAGCTGGCATTCCAATGGCATCAGCCGACACTGTCATTTACCCTGCTTCTCCCTGCAGTACGGGGACCCAGTACAAGCATCTAGTCACTCTGCTTTGCTTCCTCTGAATCTGGAACATTACCAGATGTTCACTTTAATCACCCAGCAAGGCTTTTTCTGGTTTCTCCTCTGTAAGTTACTACCTTCACCTCAGCAACTAATGAGCAGTCCAGGGAGAGATCTTGGACCACGCAGACACGTTGCTCCTCATCAAACTGCCCCCATGTAGCATCCAAAGCCATCTTCCCAGTGTGGGAGGGGGCTGTGCTGGCCCCAGAGTGGGCAGAGCATACAGCTCTCTGAAGTCCCTGGCTGTTTCCAGACCCCCAGGCGAGCCCTGAGCTGGAAGGCATCCAGATCCTCAATTCAAGCACTGTGCTGGTCAGGTGGTGGCCTGTGGACCTGGCCCAGGTCAAGGGCCACCTCCGGGGATACAGTGTAAGGGCCTAAGGCAGGTGGGCTGGGGTTGGGGTTATCGCTGGGGAAAGTTACAGGGCTCTCCTGAAAGCCTGGGCTGGGAGGAAAGAGCCCTTGTCAAGGGCAATGGGGAGCACATGCTGGCGGCCCCAGCTAGATGCCTTCTGCCCCTGCAAGGTCTCCTTTTCACCTGTGCAGGTGACATACTGGTGGGAGCGCAGTCAGAGGAAGCACAGCAAGAGGCATGTCCACAAGGGCCACGTGATAGTGCCTGCCAACACCACCAGTGTTATCCTCGGTGGTCTCCGGCCCTACAGCTCCTACCACCTGGAGGTGAAGGCCTTTAATGGGCGAGGGCCTGGTCCTGCCCTTGAGTTAACCTTCAGCACCCCGGAGGGAGGTGAGCCTCTCTCGAACCTCCACCACCCGCCCTTCCTCCTGAGACTTGGGCAAGGACCTACCTGCGGCATCTGTCTGTCACGCAGTGCCGGGCCACCCCGAGGCGTTGCACCTGGAGTGCCAGTCGAACACCAGCCTGCTGCTGCACTGGCAGCCCCCACTCAGCCACAACGGCGTTCTCACCGGCTATGTGCTCTCCTATCACCCCTGTACGTGTAGTGGGTGGCACGGTGGTGGAGAGGGCTCAGGGAGGAGCCAGAGCTGACAGCCTAAGCCAATCCCCTGCTTGTCCCCACAGTGGATGAGGGGGGCAAGGAGCAGCTGTCCTTCGACCTTCCGGACCCTGAGCTTCGAACTCACAACCTGACCAACCTCAGCCCCTACCTGCGATACCGCTTCCAGCTTCAGGCCACCACGAAGGAGGGCCCTGGTGAGGCCATCGTGCGGGAAGGAGGCACTATGGCCTTGTCTGGTGAGTTGAAGGGAAGGCCTGGCTGGCAGGGTGAGCCTTAGGCTACCTGGTGAGTCACAAACGCTCCTCTACCCCCACACTGTACAGGCATCCAGGATTTCGGCAACATCTCAGCCATGGCAGGTGAAAACTACAGCATCGTTTCCTGGGTTCCCAAAGAGGGACAGTGCAATTTCGGGTTCCACATCTGGTTCAAAGCCTTAGGAGGTGAGTTCGAAGAGGGCCCTTGCAGCGGTGGAGGGGGGGCTGCCCACTCGGCTCACTCCTGCATGCCCTCTTGGCCCTGCAGATGAGAAGGCAGGTGCCTACCTCCTGCCGCAGTATGTCAGCTATAACCAGAGCTCCTACACGCAATGGGACCTGCAGCCCGACACCGACTATGAGATCCACCTACTGAAAGAGAGGACACTGCTGCACCAAATGGCTGTGAAGACCAATGGCACAGGTGTGGCACCAGGTGACCAGCCATCACCTGCCAGCAAGGCATGGGCACTGCCTAGTTAGCTTTGCTTTGTCCCTGCCACAGCTGCTACTGCCCAGGTCTCACTCATGACTCCTGTCTCGTCCCAGAATCTGTGTGCCGTTTACCCTTGTGGGAGAACCCAGGTCTCGGAGTGGGACCTTCTCCCCACCTCCCAGCCTCTAGGGCAGCAGTCCCTCTGCCAGGGCCTCGTCTTACCCCAGGGTGGGTCTCCTATCTGTCCCCCCTCCCCAGGCCGTGTAAGACTGCCTACTGCTGGCTTCACCACTGAGGGCTGGTTTATTGGCTTTGTCAGCGCCATGGTCCTGGTGCTGCTACTCCTGCTCACCCTCTGCTTCATCAAACGCAGCAAGGGCGGCAAGTACTCAGGTGATTGGGTGGCGTGCAGTGGCCGCTGGGCCAAGGGAGGGTTGGCAGAGCCAAGGGGAGCCCCTTCGTCCCTCCGCAAGTCCTGCTATGGCCCCTGATCTCCTGGCCGGGCAGCATGGTGTGGTGGGGGCAGGCTGGGGCCCCTTCAGAGCACAAAGGACCTGGAGTCCAGGCATAAGCCAGAACAGGGAGAGATCTGTCCTGTCTGTGTGTCTGCAGTGAAGGATAAGGAGGACACCCAGGTGGACTCTGAGGCCCGACCCATGAAAGACGAGACCTTTGGCGAGTACAGGTGAGCTGGGGCAAGGCGGGTGCCAGCAATGGCCCCACCCTTCCTTCCTCTCACATCTGACCGTCCCTGTCTCTCTTCTTTGTGCTGCTGGGTGACTTCAGGTCCTTGGAGAGGTAAGGCAGGGGAGGTGGAGATGGATGTCAGACCCCAGCAGCAGGGATCCCCTATGCATAGTGTGCTCCTGGGACCACCATTGTCCCCTGGTTGCTGGGGCTCTGACCAGACTGTTCCCAGTTTCCTGGCTCAGCAATTCCCCATTTCAGAGAGAAGGCAACACATCCCAGCCCCTCCTCCCATGCTAACACCCCAGCTTCTAGGGCTGCCTGTCACCTTACCAGCTCCCTATCTCCATGAGGGGGGCCCTAGACAGCTACAATGGTGTCCCTATCAGGCTCACATACACAATGCCAGGGGACAAGGCAAGGAGCCGGGCCCCATAAGCCCCCAGGCTGAGCACCCACTTGCTCCTGCCCACTCCCCAGAGCCACTGCCAGGGCAGTCAGAGCGGCTCTTCCCTAAACACAGTTGGGACAAATGGAAGGCAGGCAGGAATCCACGTCACCTCTTCACTCGCATCCTACCTCTGCCTCTGCAGTGACAACGAGGAGAAGGCCTTTGGCAGTAGCCAGCCATCTCTCAATGGAGACATCAAACCCCTGGGTAGTGATGACAGCCTGGCTGATTACGGGGGAAGCGTGGACGTGCAGTTCAACGAGGATGGCTCCTTCATCGGCCAATACAGTGGCAAGAAGGAGAAGGAGGCAGCAGGGGGCAATGACAGCTCAGGGGCCACCTCTCCCATCAACCCTGCCGTGGCCCTAGAATAGTGGGGTCCAGCCAGGCAAGGTGGGGCCCATGCTGTGTCCCTAACCTGGGGATCAAGGCCCTCCCTCTCTCCAGCAGGCCTTTGGGAAGCCTGACTTGGGGCAGAAGAGAGGCCCCTTCTTACCACCTGGTCCCTACTTTATTGCCAAAACCCAGCTGCACCCCTTCCTGGGCACATGCTACTTTGCTCCAGCTCAGGGGCAGGTCACCTACATGTCAGGGGCCTCTAGGTGCTGCCCTGCCAGCCTATTTGGGCAGAGAAGCCGTAGTTTGGGGGAGTGAAAGTGGGGTTGCCCTGGCTAGATTTCCGAGATGGTGTCCTTCTTGATTTCGGCCTGGGGCAGACATGGCAGGGTCTCCCTTGGACTAAAGTTGGCACATCCCCCACCCCAGCCACTCCCTGGCCAGCCCAGCTGGGACTGTGGACAGAACTCGGTGTCTTTACCATCTGCTCCCTTTCTCTGCCATCTCTGCTCCAACCAGGATGAGGGCTGGGCTGAACAAGCTGGCTGCAGGTGCTGGGGAGGCCATCTGGAGAAGCCAGAGTCCCTGCCCCGAAATCACACTAAGTCAGCACCCCTCCTCCTGCCGCTCACCCTACCCCGTGGCTGACTTTCAGGAGCTTCACACGCTGCCTTTGGTATCCACCAGACAACATCCAAGTGGCCTCTGTCACTGCTGGGGTGCAGGGTGGGCACCCCTCCTATTGCCCACCAGCCAGCCCCTCCCAGCTGCCACCCCCAACCCCTTAGCAGCGCTGTCCACCCTGCTGTGTTGTCTGAACAGTTTTCTTCCTCAGCCTCCTCCCAAACCCCACCTTGGGAATGTAAATACACCGTGACTTTGAGAGTTTGTACCCTTCCCCTTACCCCATATGCCATTAGTGTGTAGGCAGATGTCCGAGTCTCTAGGTGATTTCTAGGTTTTATAGCAATTAGCTTTGATGAACCCATCCCAGGAAAAATAAAAACAGACAAAAAAAAGGAAACCTTGGTACCCCCAGCACTGCTGTACTCTGCCCAGCAGTTTGGGCTCCCCATATGCCTTTGCTTGGTCTGTCAATGAGCCCTCTTCAAAAAACAAAAAAATATATATATGTACATAAATATCAGAATTATAACAGGTAAATAAAACCTGGAAAGGAAGGTGGCCTTTCTTCATTGTGCTGTGCACTATGTCCACTGTCCCTGCCCCACACTGCAAGAGATTGCTAGGACCAGCAACAGCAGCCCCTTCCATGCACAGGAGCCCCTGAGACTACCAGCCCCACAGCTCTGAGCCTTCCCTTGCCCTCCCAGAGGCCACACATCTAGCTACTCTGCAGGCCTTGCTGTGCTCACCTTGGGTGTTGCTGCCACACTGTTGGGCCTTAGGGTCTTTGTCCCTGCTGGCCCCTGGAGACCAAGCTTAGTCTCTTACCATGGGGTTACATATGGAAGTAGAGTGTGGCCAAGGCCCCAGAAGTCCTGGAGCTCCTGCCCTGCAGCCTACTGGCCAGTGCCCAGAAGCCTCTTCCCTGTCTAAGGGCACAGGCCCACCTGGACGCATCTCCCTGGCCCCTGGCCTGGCAGAAGCAGCATGATCTGCCCTAGAGGAGTGGTCTTCCCTGGGGTGCTGTACCTTCTAAATCCTTATGGAGCACTTTAAACTAATGACCACAAACCTTGCGTGGCCTAGGGATGGCCAGCCTTCCTTGGGAGTTTCTAGAGTTCCCTCCAATGTCTCATACCTCCCCAAAGCCCCATCCCCAGCACTGCCAGCTGACTTTGTTTCTCCTGTAACTGAGCAAGCAGAGAGTGGCAGAGAACTTCCTTCCTCCACAGTCAGGTCTTCACCCTTGCCCACGTGGGTGAGTCCCTCCACCCAGGCCCCTGGCCCCTGCCCCTAACGCCTACCTAAGCACTTCTCTCCTGCCCCATCTCACCTTTTTTCTGTAACTTTAATTTGTTTCTGTTGATTCACTGCCCATATACAAACATGCTGCACTAGCCCCTGCCACTCAGGCTGCTAACTCCAAATGCCTCTCCTGTTCTTGCCCCTGTTCTCCGTTCCACTCTATAGCAAACACCTCTGACTACACTCACCAACCACTTGAGCCTCATCTGTAATAGTGTCTGCCTGTTGGCCTCCAATGTCTATTTTCCTGTTCTTCCATAATACTAGACTTTAGGCTTGGGGATGTGGCAGCTCAGCTGAAGATTCATTTCCCGGCCTTCTTTGCATCCATGTGGGGCATTGCACCTAAGTTCTGGCTGGTGGAATGTGGGTATGTGTGCACCTGCTGGGCTGGTCTTTCTCTGTCTCCTTGCCAGCTGAAGGCAAATGTAATCTGCGCTCCTGGCTTGGAGGAGCTACCTGGGAACACTTAATGGAAGTTGGACATTGAGAATGGGGACAGGATCTGGGCTGCTGCAGTGGCCCTAGGTTGCTTCTCTGGTCTCACTACATCACCCTGGGTACAGTGCTGTGGCATCATAGCTCACAGAAACCTCAGACTCCTGGGATCACTCAAATGATCCTCTCCCTCCAGCCTCCCAGGTAGCTGGGATTACAGGCACCTGTTACAATGCCTGGCTAGTTTTTCTATTTTTAGTAGAGATGGGGTCTCACTCTTGCTAGGGCTGATCTTGAACTCCTGAGCTCCAGGGATCTTCCTGCCTTGGCCTCCCAGAGTGCTGGGATTACAAGGGTGAGCTTCTCTGGGTTTTAAAAACTTAATGCACTTTGGTTTTCAGATAAATTTTAAGTTTACAGAAAAATTAGCAGAAAGTAGGGCATTCCCATGACACCCCAACATGACCCCTGTTATTAATACCTGCATCTGTGTGGAAAGTTTATTACAGCTGATGAGACAATAGTTAGGCACCCACGTGACCCGAAGTCCACGGTCAACATTAGGGTTCACTCTGGTGTTGTGAGTTCTCTTGGTTTGGACAAATGTCTAACAACTTATCCACCATAACAGTATCATGTAGAGTAGTTTTGCGCCCCAAATCCACCACAGAGGTGGTGCACTAAACACAGGCCCTGCAGGCAGCTCTCCCATCAAACTGAGCATGTGAACATCACTGTAGGCAGCTGCATGCCTCCACTCAGCCTGCACACTGCCACAGGGCTGACCCTGCTTGCCATCTGTGGCCATAAAGGTGTTTCACTTGCTCCTTACATGTAAGGCAGGGGTCCTCAAACTTTTTAAACAGGGGGCCAGTTCACTGTCCCTCAGACAGTTGGAGGGCCGGACTGCAGGCCCCGGGACTAGTCGGCTGCTAAGCAGGACAAGCAGCTGCAGCAAAAACACCCTGCAGGCCAGATAAATGTCCCAGGCGGGCCACATGTGACCCATGGGCCATAGTTTGAGGATGCCTGAAAAGAGATGGAACCAAATTCCCTGGACAGCCTTCTGTGCTGGTATCTTTCTCTCGTCATGTCTGTGAAGCGCTTCCATGTCTGCCCTCTTTTGCCACCTTCACATTGCTGAGTAGCAGCTGCCATGCTTCACTTGCCCATCCTCCCATGGGTGGGCATGTGGGTTGTTTTCAGTTTTAGCCATAAAGGATGAAGTGGACCCATGTAGCCCTCTCTCTGGGATCCGTGCCTTAGGAGAGTTGCTGGGGTGTAGAGTGGACGTCCCAGCCTGCTCTGCTGTCCTCTGCTTGGTGATGGTGGGTTGGGGATGTTTGTTCTTCAGCTCTGCTGGTAGGGGGGCTTGAGGGACACTGCAAAGCTGGAGGAGGCAAAAGAGGCTTGCTTCTTCCTGTAAGCACCATTCTAACAGGCTTCCTCACCCTGGCAGCAAGTAGGTCATTTGTGGCATCAGCTGAAGCTAATTTTCAGACTTGCCAACACCTGCAAAGGCAACTTCGTGGCACCCTGTACTCTGACACACTGATTCCAGGCACCTGGTGCCCCAGCACAGAGGTCTGAGCACTAGGTGGTCCTCTGAGCTCAGAGACCCCAGCACCACAGCTGTGAGGGGCCCCACCCTGGGTGTCTAAGTTTGACGATTTCTAACTCTTTCCCTTTGTCCCCAGCCTTGGGGGCTGTGTTAGTTTGCTAGACCTACTGAACAAAGTTCCACAGAGTAGCTTCAACAACAGAAATAGACTCTCTTCCAGTTGAGGAAGGCAGAAGCCCCAGATCAGGGTGTCTGCAGTGTTGTGGCCCCTCTGCACACACTAGGGGGGATCTGTCACATGGCTGCTTCATGACTGGATCCAGATTGATAAAAACTTGGGACCTGAAGTGCCATCAGAGACTACATCCTGAAAGACAGGGTTTGGGGATTGATTTGCTTTTATGCTTGGGCTTGAAAGCACTGGTAAGTTTCAGGGTCTCTTCCCTCCCAATCATGGCCTGTCATTTCATATGAGACACATGGTGAGGCTGGGAATTCAGCTGATGTTGTGATTTTTGAACTCAAACAATCTGGGTATTTGATTTCAGCACTGTCAGCCTTGAAAGTACAAGAACATTTTTAGGGCTGTCCTGGAAGCCCTCCTCGTGTCTTACAAGAGGATACTCATTCTCCTCAAGGCCTGTGAGACCCACAGCAAAGGTCCAATCTCAGCACATGCCAAGGGGCAGGGACACAGGAGAAAATAACATATACCAAAAAAAAAAAAAAAAAACCCACCAGCAAAAACCCCACAAATGGCTGGGTGCAGTGGCTTGCACCTATAATCCTAGCACTCTGGAAGGCTGAGGTGGGCAGATTGCTTGAGTTAGGAATTTGAGACCAGCCTGAACAACAGTGAGACCACATCTCTACTAAAAACAGAAAAACTAGCTGGGCATTGTGATGGGTGCCTGTAACCCCAGCTACTCAGGAGGCTGAGGCAAGAGGGTTGCTCAAATCCAGGAGTTTGAGGTTGCTGTTGAGCCATGATGCCACCGAGCTGACAAGATGAAACTTTGTCTCAAAAGGAAGGAAAGAAGGGGGGAAAGGACAAAATTTAGGGGCATCAGACCTCAGAAGCTTCTGGAAGTTCAGTGCTCCTGAAGCACCTCACACCACTTGCCTCTAAAAACAATGATGGTGGATCGGCGCCTATAGCTCAACCGGCTAAGGTGCCAGCCACGTACACCTAAGGTGGCGGGTTCGAATCCCCAGCCCGGACCCGCCAAACAACAATGACGGCTGCAACCAAAAAAAATAGCCAGGCGTTGTGGCGGGCGCCTGTGGTCCCAGCTACTTGGGAGGTGGAGGCAGGAGACTCGCTTGAGCCCAGGAGTTGGAGGTTGCTGTGAACTGTAATGCCACGGCACTCTGCCCAGGGGGACAGCTTGAGGCTCTGTCTCAAAAAAATAAAAAAATAAATAAAAAATAAAAACAATGATGGAGTTCTTTGGATTTTGGAATACACATCACACATGTGGTGCTATGTTGCATCAAGTATTGGTGCTATCAAGCTATCAAGTATTTACTGCATACTTGATAAGGCTGCCACTTTTGCATGGGGACCAGAGCCCTATGACCCAGCAGGCCTGATCCCACATAAAGTGTATGGCAAATGGTGAGATCACATGGAGCCTGGCAAGCACTGGCAGGGAATCAAAATGCAGACCGCTAGTTTTCTAGAAAATCCACGCCCTTTTCTTCCCATAACTATTCTCTAAACTATTTTTTTGAGAAACACATTCAACTTGGTATTGGATCCTTGTAGAGACTGAACTCTGAGGACTACAGTGACCCCAAGACTGGAGACTGCTGACCCAACGAGTCGTGAGTTGGGCACAAGCAGCAGTGACAACATCTCATTCAGTGGAAATGAGAGCTAAGAGATATACTCAGGTGGTTTCAGAAAGCACAGCTGCATGAGCAGGTGGCTCAGATTCCTTCATCACCAACTATTGCAGCATGTCCTTCTTCCCCTCCAGTCATGCCGCTAGCTTCCTGCAATGTTCCGTGTGGCCAACTGACTGTAGGGGAGTAATTCAAGCCTGGCTTGGAGATGGTGACTCCAAAGGACAGAGGCAAAGGAAAATCTCTCAAGTGGGCAGGACCTTGTGCCCTACAGCTGATCATCCTTGGTGAAGGGACTAAGATGGCCAGAAACATGGATCTGTGTTGACGTAGGAATGTGCCAATGATTTGGCAGAATGATCATGGACTTGGAAAGAAAGACCAGGGCTGAACTACATGTAAA